AGATCAGAAAGTATATTTGCAATTTCTAACAAGAAAAAAATAAGTTAATTTTAAATACTCTGTATTCTTCAATGAAATAAGGAAGCAGATGAAGGATATAATGTTGGATAGTCTTATCAACCAGGCCACCTTTTAAAGATAATTTTTCAGGGAAGCTAAAATGAGCAATAATAAAGCTCTACACTAGTATAACTGCTCATTATACTACAAGCTGGCCCTTGAACAACTTGGGAATTAGGGGCACCCACCCCCTGAGCAATCAAAAATCTACATATACCCCTGGCCCATGTAGCTCAGTTGGTTGAGTGTCCTCTGTGCACCAAAAGGTTGCCGGTTCAATTTCCAGTCAGAGCCCATACCCAGGTTTCAGGTTCCATTCCAAGTAAGATGCATATGGGAGGCAACCAACTGATATTTCTCTCTCACACCAATCTCTCTCTCTCTCTCTCTCTCTCTCTCTCTCTCTCCCTCTCTCCCTAAATTCAATTTTAAAAGAAACTTTTAAAAAAAACAAAACACCCACCTATAACTTCAGTTGATCTCTCTCTCTCTCTCTTCCTCTCTCTCTAAATTCAATTTTAAAAGAAACTTAAAAAAAAAAAACCACCTATAACTTCAGTTGGCCCTCCGCATTCACGGATTCCCAACCTTGGATAGAAAATACTGTTATGGTCCAAGTTTGGCTAAATCCATGGTTGCACAACCTGGGAATATGAAGGGCCAACTGTATGTTTATTTTTTAAAATGTGGCATTTAAGTGGCTCTGGCCAGTTGTTCAAGAATTAACTATATTTTTATTTGTAAAGTTTGCAAATCAAAATGTAACAAATAATTACACATCAGTATTGGTAGGAATACCAAATATTATTTCATAACTGCTACTATGAGCTGCTTCTTCTTCTCTGACATGATTGACACAGATCCAGTCTTGCTCTTTGATACCATTCACTTCCTTTGTCAATGAGCTTCTTTCATGATGCGCTGTTCTTGAATCTGGCTGTAGGTGGATTTTTGGTAGATGTCAGTGACGAGCAATACATTTTATATGAGGATGATGTTGAAATTTCTTCTTCGATTTCTAGTTATAATCTTTGGCTACCTGTTCTCGTGATGTAAGCATACCATATTTTTCAGAAGCATTCGCTCTCCATAGATGACTATTCATTTCATCAGACCCACATACAATGTACTGGCTGTCAGCAGTCCATTTTACATAGATAACATGTTGTATCTCTTTGTTATATTTCCCCACTTCTACTTTTGTCCACAGGAATAGATTTATCAAAACTAGCGGACACAACCTCTTTCCCAGTGGGAGAGTAATTCACATCCAGCACTGCAGATATGTGATCCATGTGCACCATTGCAGGAGTGTCCAGTGCACACACATAGGATTTGAAACAACAAAAAAGTATTTTTATTTGCAATCAACATGTTTGTCTTAGAAAAAAAGAATACAGCCCTGGCCAGTTTGACTCAGTAGTTAGAGCGTTGGGCCTGCAGAAGGAAGGGTCACAGGTTTAATTTCAGGTCAAGTGCATGTACCTCAATTGCAGGTTCCCCAGCCCTGGTAGAGGTGCGTGTGGGAGGCAACCAATCGATGTTTCTTTCTCCTCCTCCTCCTCCTCTTCTTCCTCCTCCTCCTTCTTCCCTTCCACTTTTTCTAGAAGTCAATGGAAAAAATATCCATTGAGGATTAAAGAAAAAAATACAGAAATAGCTATGAGATCTAATATGTGAGTTTAGCAAGTTGCAGGATATAAGGTTAAAATGGAAAAGTCAATTTTATTTCTATATACTAGCAACAAACCATTGTAAATTAAAACTTTTAAATATCACCAAGACAAAAAGATAATGTGTGCAAGACCTATACACTGAAAACTAAAAACATTGCTCAGATAAATTTTTAAAGATCTAGAGAGATCATATTCATGAATTTGAAGATAGAATATTAAGATATTAATTCTTCTCAAATTGAACTATATATTTAAATAAATCCCAAACAGAATCCTAGCAGTTGTTGTTTTTTAGGTAGAAATTATAAGCTTAATCTAAAATTTATACAGACATTTAAAAGAGAATAAGCAAAACATATTTAAAACAGAAAAAAGTTGGAAGCAATGCAAATTCAAACCATAACAGTCCCCAGAATAGCTAAAATAAAAAAGTGTTGGCAAACATATAGAGGAATTAGAATTGTCATACATTGCTTGTGGAAAAGTAACTTGGTAAAACCAATTTGCAAAAAGTTTGGCATTATCTATTAAAGTGTAACATATGCTTTCTTTATTGCCACAATAATTCTGCATAATAAATTACCCCAAACTTAGTGGCTTATGACAACAGCATTAATTCTCATACTCATTAATCTTTGGCTATCTAAAATTCTGCTAATGCAACAGCATTAATTCTCATACTCATTAATCTTTGGCTAAAATTCTGCTAATATAAATGGGATTGCATTCCCATTTGCTCCAAATATGTTTGTTCTGAGAGCCCACACTGGAGGGGAATGGCACATGATACATGGTCTTCTCATGTGCATCATCTGAACTCAAGAGCCAAATCAAACTATACATGGACCCTTAAGACTCCTGTTCATATCATGTCTGCTCATATTCTATCCGTCAAAAAATTTACATGGCCAAAAGCAAATCAATGGGGTAGAGAAGTCTGGCCAACCGTGGAAGGGGGAAGAAAAGAAATATTTGTTGAAATAAAAATCCAAGTTATCATGTCCAGTATATCAACATGCCATACACCCAACAGAAATGATGCATGTGTGTACTAAGATATATGAATAAGAATGTTCAAGCAACATTGTTCATAATTGCCAAAAACTGGAAATAACCCAATGCCTATCAACAGTAGAAAGGATAAAGAAAATGTGCTATATCCACACTTACATTTAGAGATTTCCCCCACTGAAAGAGTAAAGTGTTCCTTATGGAACCTTTCATAAGCCGAAATGGTGAGAAGTAAAGAGAATCCCCCACTTTCCAAAACATCATGATATTTCACCCTGCTACATTAGTACACTAATGGCTTTTTTTTTAAGTGAAAACAGGTACTAATGTCTTTTATAAAAGTGAAGTGACACAATGCAAACTATTTGCAAGTGAGAGATAACCTGTATACTAATGAAAATGAAAAAATAAGTACACACAAAATTATGAGTCTCAGAATTTACCCCAAAGAAATCAAGCACGAAATCATTCAATTTACATAAATTTGAAACCACTAACTGATAAAGTTTAGGGATATACAATTATGCAGAAAACTGTCAATAGATGCTCATTGGTGCCCGTTCAACCCCAACAGGAATCCCCAATTTGGGGTGCGATGAAGAAGGAAACTTGATTCAGTGCAAAACAACTAAATTTTGCACAGCACAGCTGTGAGGCAGCCCTGGGACCAGGCCTCTCTCCAGCTAGATAGCTCTGTTCTGCTCCTCCCTGGTCTGAGTCCCTCTACTCGGACAAAGATGTTCAGTGTTTCAGCTCAGCCAGGGAAACAGTCTTCATTGGAAAGAGAAAGTGCTTCCCCAGAGCCAGAGAGAAGCTGACTTACAGACAGAAGTTTCTACTCCTAGTCCTTGATTGATCTGTCCTTATGCAAATGAGCACTCCAAATCTTCACAGTTTGATTGGTACACTTTCACTTTCTCTCCCCCCTGCTCCCCTTCCTGTCACGATTTTGGTCAGAATAGAGCCACTCTAACTGTGGATGAAGAAGCTGATAGACATATAGCTACAAAGCTCCTATTGGATGGAGAAAGCCTCAGTGCTGTTGATTGAAATAGGATTCCAGGAACTCCTATATAAGGGTTGGCTCAGATGGCAGAAACACAGTGCAGGCAGGTGGTTCAGTGCAAGCTTCTCCCTGAAGTGCAGTTTGCATGAGAGGCCCCATGTGAAAAAGGCTGTTAAGCTTTTTAAATATTTTTGCTTTTTAAAAAATGTAAGCCTGGTTAATTTACCAGAAAGTCCTTCTCAGGGACCAGTAGGTACCTTCTTTCTCAGGGTCCACAAAACCGATTAAGAAAGGTAAGGAATAGCCCAGCCTGTGTGGCTCAGTGGTTGAGCATGGACTTAGGAACCAGGAGGTCACCATTTGATTCCCACAGGGCACATGCCTGGGTTTGGGGCTCTATCCCCAGTAGGGGGCGTGCAGGAGGCAGCCAATCAGTGATTCTCATCATTAATGTCTCTCCTCTCTCTCTCTCTCTCTCTCTCTCTCTCTCTCTTCCTTTCTGTAATCAATACAAATATATTAAAAAAATAAAAAAGTTAAGGAAGACATTACCATGGAAGTTAGAGTCGTGGTTTGGTTTGGTGATAGGGAAAGGAGTTGGGTATTAATTGGGAGGTGGCACAAGAGAGCGTGTCTGGGGTTTTGGCAATGTCCTATTTCTTGACCAGGTTGGTGGTTTCATAAGTGATAAGGCACAGAATTGTATATTTTGGTTTTGTGTATTTCACAATATCTATCTTATTCTCTGCTTCTACAGGCAACCTTCTTCAGTTCCTGAACACAATTTCACTTCTAGGGACTTTGCGCTTTTGTCCTTTTGCTTGAAAAGCTCTTCCTCCACATCTTCCAAGGCCTAGTTTGGTCTGTTTTTATCATTGAAGTTTGACATGAAATGTCCTTTTCAGTGAGGTCTTGTATCTGTGCCTCCAGCCTCCAACCCCATCCTTCAACATTGCCAGCTTGGTTTCACAGCAGCCTTGTGCAATGAAATTCTGTTTTTGTTGTGTATGCCTAATTAAGCACCTGGCCACAGTAAACAGGAAGAGATGCCATTTAATGAATATTTCTATACCCAACATGTGGCACAGGACCTGTTTCATGGTGTCACGTGTAGAATGAGTTCTATTTGTAGTCCCTTTGGCTCTCTGCAGATTATAAACTTCTAGAGGTGTTTTCCTAAGCAACAACCACGTAAACAAATATTACATAGATTTAACATTTATTAAATTATAAGGACTAGATTTCGTAAATGGCACTTTCGAGCAAGATAAAACAAGCCTCACAGGGTCAGCTTCAGGGAGCAACGAAGGAGAGGCAAAGACCACACCTTAGGAAAAGGGACTCCCTCAGCCCGTCACAGGGGCTCCTCCGCGAGGGACGACGCTCAAGCCCCGCGAGAAAACCCGCCCGCACGCTGTGCGCGCCGTAGTCCAATCCCGGAGCGCTCTGCATCACTGCGCCTGCGCAGAGGCGAAAAGCGAGCGCCGCGTGGACGTCAGTCTCAGCCTGCGCCTGCGCGTCTTCTCCTCTCAGTGATTGGCTTCCACCTTCAGTAAGTACGCCGCAGTTCAATTTTCACTTTCTCTTCCCCCGCCCCCCTTCCTGAGGCCGTGAGGTTTTACTTCCGGTGCCCGGCGCCGTCACCGAGAGTCGACTTGTTCCCTCAGGTCGCGAGGCGTCTCGGGGGTCGGTTCCTTTCTGGGATCCTCTGAGGGAGGGGCGACGCTTAGCTGACTAGCGCAGGCGGGCTCCGAGCCTGGACGCCGGGCCGCGTCCCACCCGCCTGCGCATCGGGCCCGCCCTGCAAGGCCAGGGCCGTCCTCCTGAAGCACGAGGGCGGATAGAGAGACGGGCTGCGACGTGGAGGGTCCTGCGCGCCTCTGACGAGCTTGAGCTAACCCGGGAGTCGAGGGGCCATTGGCTCTCCGGGAGGAGGGGAATCCCGCTGAAAGGAGACTCAAAGACTCCCTTGCCGGGAAGGAGACAAAGAAAGCGGCTTATTAACAAGGTCCGAAAAATATATGTCACATGTGGCTGGGAGGGATCGAGAGAAAGGAAGCGCGAGTGTGAGGAGCGGAAAAAACATATACAAGCATGGGGAAGACATTGAAGAAGAATCCCAGAATCTCGGCAGCGGCGGCAGCACAAAGGACAGGTAAAACTCCCCCCGTGTGGACGCTTTGTGGACCTTCGTAGACACCTGGCTATGGTGCATGGCGCAGTTGCTTGGGCGTTTGTGGCTTAGCTATTGCAATTTAAAAATTTTAAATTGTATTTGCATGCTTTTTGTGAATGATTAATGACTAACGCACTCTTGCCTCTTTGCCCTGCTCTAGGGTGAGTGGGGTAGGAGGGGATGGAGTTTTCAGAGTCGTTTTTGCTTCGCTGCTTTTTAAATGTCTCCCCCTTTTTACCACTTGCGGCCATTCTCAGTATCATCCTAATTTGTTTCTAGGAAGTCAGCATTTTACAAGTTGGTATAGATGGTGTTTCAGAATTTACCTTTCCCCTTTTTGAGGCAGAAAGTCTGGAACGGTATAAGCATTTCCTCTGAGTTGCTTGTTAGAGGACAGTTTCATCTTTATGGGCATTATAATAAACAGTTAAAGCTTTGCTTATTTGGTTTGGACTGGCTGTTAAGTCATTTTCGAAAGGTTCTCTATAAACCCCGAACCACACGTGCTTTCTGTGGAGACTTCATGGCAGTGTGTGACCTTTCTTTTTTAAAGTAGGTGTAAAAGGAAGACGTCTGTCCATGGGGAGGGTTATTTAGCAAACAACCGAAGTAGCGTCTTAATAGTAGGTTGGTTAGTACATGCAACCCAGCTGTTTGTCTGAGAGTGGCACCAAGCCGCATTTTGAAGATTAACCTCAAAATTTGAAGAAGATACTCAGGTTTAATGTAATCACCGTTTGTCTGAAATCCAAAAATTTAAATATACCTCCCTGACCCTTCTTTATTATCCCTGTAAAGTAAAACTTAGGTGTTGTACAAGTTTATGGTGTTATTGTAGTTATATTAGTGATCTGAGGGCCCACAATGTTTTCCTGAAAAAAGGGTGTGTATATGATATTTAATATTACAGGATCTGAGATTGGCAGTAAGCCTACTCAGGAGGTTTATAACAAAGCAGGTACTCCTTGATAGTGTAAGAATACTATTGTATTGAAAAACTGCCTTCTGGAACTAGATAGCACTATACAGTATGTTCAGTACATAAGTAAGTAACCCAGACTAAAGAAAAATAAAAAAGTGACTGTACACAATTACTTTAGAAAGACAAAGAGCAGTGTTTTCAGGACATTTGCCCAAACGTTACCAGGTTCTCTCTTTAAAAAACAAAAAAATATTTTTATTGATTTCAGAGAGGAAGGGAGAGAGAGAAACATCAATGATGAGAGAATCATCCATGGGCCACCTCCTGCACGCCCCCTACTGGGGATCGAGCCCTCAGCTCGGGCATGTGCCCTGACTGGGATTGAAACCCTGACCTCTTGGTTCATGGTTCCACAATGGCTGGGCGGATATTACCAGTTCTCTTTAAAAGCTGTATTATGAGCATCTCCTGTAATCCAAACATGGTTGCTTAAATGAATTAAAATCTGCATTACCTAAAGACTTGCTTAAGACATAGCCATTTGATAAATAAATGCGGTATGATATCTATCTAGTATAATTAAGTAGATATGGCATCTATCAAATCAATCTTTCATCCCTTTATGAACTGTTTGTTATTTTCAAGTTTTTTCTTCATAACGATGCTGCAGTGATTGTCTTTTTTGCTATTATAAACAATGCTTTATATGCTCATGATAATATTTCTGTAGAATTGATTCCCTATGAGAATGCTGGATAATAATACTGTTAACTAGCCCTCAAATGATTGTAGCTTTTATATTCGCTCAAAAGGTGTGTTTTTATCTTTCTGCTAGTCAGTACTGGATGGTAACTTTATTTCTTTAATATCTTACTAATTTTCTAGTAATTGAAAATAATATTTTAATTAAATTAAATTTAATTTAATTTTAATTTTTATCTTCCTTGGGTAACAAGAAAGTTAAACATTTTTGGCCAGGTCATATCCTTTGCTTGTTTATTTGGGGGGGGCGAGGGGATTCTGAACTCTTCTTTGACCTATATATCTGTTACCACAGTTTTAATTATTCTAACTTTATAACGTATTTTGATACTTAATTTTGAAAAAAGTTTTGGGCGCTTCTTTTGCATATTTCTTCCAGATGAAATTTAGAATCATCTTTTCAAGTTCTATAGAAAATCTTGTTGGGATATTGAATTGCATTGAATTCATAGATTAATTTGAGAAGAGACATCCTTTGAGTTTTTCCTTCTAAGAGAATAGGTATGTCTCCTTGTTTCTTATATTACAATTTTTGTTGTGAAATATACAATTATATGTGTACTCAGATTAATAGAACACTGCAAGTACCTTAGAAGCCTTTAGCATGTGCCTCTCCCTAGAAGCAAAGTATTCTCTGCCCCATCACCATGGTCATTCTGAATTTTGTGTTAATTACTCCATTGCCTTCCTTTATAGTTATATTGTATTGTTTACTTTTATCTGTTTTTCAAGTTTATTTAAATAGAACCATACTGTATATTCTGTAAATTACTTTTGTTAAACATTAAACATGTGCCCATAGTTCAGTAATTCAGAAACTTTTGGGCTCAGGCCTCCTTTACACTTTTAAAAACTATTGAGGACCCCAAAGACCTGTTGTTTCTGTGGATTATATCATATTAGACATTAAAACTAGCCAGTTTTAAGTGAATCTAGCATCTTTTGGTATATTTACACCAATAATAAAAATAAATCCATTACACCTTAACATAAATAACATTTTAATGTAAAATAACTATTTTCCAAAACAAAAAATATTAGTGACAAGAGTGGCTTTGTTTTACATTTTTGAAAATATCTTTAATAACTAGTCTCTTCTGCTTCTGCATTCAATCTGTTGCAGCATATTGTTTTGGTTAAAGTATATGAAGTTGGTTGCAAATATCTTTTCTCTATGGTGGTTTTTTTTTTATGAGAAGTTCTGGATTTAAAAATTTTTTTATTTCATGTCTGTTAATTGGAATTATTGGAATTGTTATATATGAAGTTGGTTGCAAATATCTTTTCTCTATGGTGGTTTTTTTTTTATGAGAAGTTCTGGATTTAAAAATTTTTTTATTTCATGTCTGTATAATTGGAATTATTGGAATTGTTACTTGTGTGTAGTTTGGAATATAAATATAATTGAACTTTTTCTCTTGTAGATAATCAGTTGTGGTAGAAATTACCATTGAATCCATTTAGGTCTGAAGTTTTGCTAGCAGATGATTTTGACTAGTGATGATGTAATGTCTTTAATGGTTACAGGATGACTCATTTTTTTTATTTTAAATATATTTTATTGATTTTTTTTTTTTTTTACAGAGAGGAAGGGAGAGGGATAGAAAGTTAGAAACATCAATGGGAGGGAAACATCAATCAGCTGCCTCCTGCACACTCCCTACTGGGTATGTGCCCGCAACCAAGGTACATGCCCTGACCAGAATCGAACCTGGGAGGGACCCTTGAGTGCGCAGGCCGACACTCTATCCACTGAGCCAAACTGGTTAAGGCTTTTTTTTTTTTTAATTTTGTCAGTCGTCGTAAGTTAGATTTTTCTAGGACTCTGTCCATGTTGTCTAAATTTTTAGTATTTATTGGCACAGAGTTGTTAAAAGTGCCCTCTTACTATCAATGTCTGAAGCATGTGTAATTATATCTCCTTTTTTATTTCTAATATTGCATATTTTTGTTCCGGTTTTCCCTCCCCCCTTTCTGATAATTCATCTTGCCTGTAGCTTATCAGTTAGGATTATCTTCTCATTGAATTTTTTTTTTTTGGCTTTGTGATTATCTCTATCAAATTTTTTTGTGTGTGTTAATATATTTAAAAAAATAAAACACATATACTAAAGCCTCTTTCTAAGGCTCCTTTCAGTTCTGACACTGTGACTCTACAAACTGCCTTACTGGAGGCTTGGTATGTACAAGGCATTGGACACTGCACTAGATAACTAATCAAATTCCCTTTTATTTGTTGCCATGAAGAGGCTTTTACCCTAGTATTTATTAGCAAGGAAGCATAAAAGTTAATATAACTTCTGTAAAAACTTGAAACTTAAAATACAGTAAAACTTCGATATAACGGACTAATTTGGGCAAGGGGTGTCCATTAAAGCCAAAAGTCTATCTACAGTAATAAAAGAGAAAGATGCAAATTGACTGTACCTTCGTGATGCCCACCAGTCAACCAGGAGTGAATATGCAAATTAACCCAACAAAAACCGGTGGGTTAATTTGCATATGCAGGCGCTGAGCCGCCGGGGGCAGGACAACACAGGCGTTCTGCACCACCCCAGCCACTTCGGGCCTCTGGGCAGCATGGGAAGGCGGAAAGGCAGCTCCGGCCAGAGCAAAGGCGGTGCTGGCAGCCAGGGGAAGGAAGGCCTATTCTTGCACGAATCTTTGTGAATCAGGCCTCTAGTTACATAATAAAGTAGTTTTTCTGAATGCATATGGTAAAAAATTGACAAATTAGATGTAGACGAGTTTATGTAATTAAAATTAAGTATGTGGAAAAGCTTAATTTCACCAAAAAGTTTTCTATATGTATTCTGTAATTTTACATTTATGCTGTGTGTGTCTAGTTAAATATGTGCATTCACCGTCATTGAGAATAAACAAATGCACATAGCTGGGGTGTGGTTTAGCACACATTGGAACACCAGGCCAGCAGGAGTTAAAACTGCTGCAGATGCCTGGCTGGCTCAGTGGTTGAGTGTTGACCTATGAACCAGGAGGTCACGTGGAGGGCATGCAGTAAGTAGGCAATCAGTGATTTTCTCTGATCATTGATGTTTCTGTTCCTCTCCCTCTCTGAAATCAATTTTAAAAAACTGCTGCAGAAAGTCACACAGTGAGACAGCAGACACAATTATTTCCTGAGATGCAGTGTGATCAAGTGCTGATCATTTGCTAATCTTTCACTGAACATTGCTTACAAGTGGAAACTCTTGGATTTACATTTATGTAGACTGTAGTTGTAGATATGTAATATTTAGTTATGTCAGTGAACTTATTACAGTGGTTTTTTTCC